GCGAAAAAAAAAAAAAAAAAAAGAAAAGAAAACACGATGGGTCGTGTATTCTATCAAAGCAGACGACAACATTCGTTCTGCGTTCAAGTCCAACTCAGCCATGTAAATTACTCAATAACACAAGTACATCCTCGACGCGCCAGAGGAGAGGAGAGATCCGAATCGCGGATATGTGTTGAACAAGGCTTCTCAGTCGAGAGACAGAGAGAGCAAAACCACTTTCTAAAAGTCTCTGGATGTCTACGAGGCTCGTTATACGGTACTCGCGTGGTCAATCCGAGAGATGACGTGCAGCCTTCTTCTTTTACGCGAGTCAGCTGAAATCTCAGCCGAGCGAGTGTTACTCAAAACTCGCGGCGGGCACCTGCTGCCTCGCCTCGTCGCCAGCTCGACGAATCTTGCGAGCAGCGCATTGCCACGTCGAACGCGTTGGCGCAACGAGCTGCGGCCGAGGCTGCCGTCGATTTCCCGCAAATCGACCAAGATCGGGATAATCGAACGACACTCGGACGCGGATCTCGGATAGATCCTCGAATGCCGCAGCCACTTAATTGACAATGCCGTGGAAGCGCATTGTCCGAGCGCACAGCTTACTTCGACAGCGCGGGACCCCTCCTTCAAAAGCCCGGGTGCCGCGTATAGACCATCGATTCGACAGCTTCGAATAGAGGTTCGATAATAATGCCGAGCGACGATGAAAAGGAGAGGGAAGAAAAACCGTGGAACGAAACCGCATAAATAACGCGTAAGACGACACCGCCGTGGTGTATAGGGGGCCTCCTCTCGGACCAAAGTCCTCGAAAGATCGTTAGGAACGCCGGGCGCGGGGACCCACAAAAGCCAAAATAGCTCTCGAATTGACGAGCCGAGGCCATTAAACGCGCTTTAGGCGAAATTCCAAAAGTCAAGCATATGACATTTCGTTCCGAAGGGAGAGAAAAGAGAGAGAGAGAGAGAGAGAGAGAGAGAAGGACGAGATGGTGCGCACACACGCGCATTCTGGGAACGCCCCGGAGTCGCGCACGTGTGTGTCTCGGCTCCTCGAAATTCTGGGCATTATTGTCGAGCGGATCGAGTGCCCGCAGCGGCAACACACAATACCGTAGTATATAGTTGTTCTTTCCACCCTCCTCCCACTCACCCTACCGCCAATTATTCTCTCATGCTCGTCGCGCTTTTTCGTATTTTCGCTCTCTCTTCCCTCTTCTTTTTTTCTTTTGCGCCCGCCTGCTTTTCTATGCGTGCACGCACGCCAGCCACTCGAGTTCACGCTGAGACGAGAGAGATCGAGAGAACGCAGCTGAGAAACAAGGTGCAAACCTTCCGAGGGATCGAGGGAGGATGAGCGAGCGCCGAGGAAATATAGAGAAAGTTTATTCGTCTCTTATTTTTCCCTCGTCAGCTCATTGACTTTTGCAAGTTAAATTTAACTCTCTTGGCGATTTCGGCGTATCGGCTATTCTTGCCACATCGGGTATGCCCCCGAATGCGTTTAACATTCCTGGCCGAGAGTCCGCGCGCATATATATTCGCCAACGCCTGACGTCATTTCTTCGCACACCTTTCGTTCCCTTCGCGACGCACATCTCGGCACGCTTGCGCTCGATTTAACTAACTAAGATTTGATGTTGTAGGCCCTGGAACTTTACGTTTTGTTCCTGGCGTGACCGTCGTCGACGAACGGCCCGGAGTACAGAAAAACATACAAAAGTGTCCTCCACTCGGCCGTCCAGATAAATACTTAATAATGCAGCTTGCGAGCCGTGGTAGCTGAGACGGAAATAATAGGCAAAGCGTACGTGTACCGATGAAGAAAAAAAAACAGCGACGGCGCCGTTATTGTCAACTCCTCTTGGGGAACTAACGCGCTATTGAAGGGCCTCCAGGTGTATATGTTTCTACTCTGAGAGAGCGTTAGAGAGAGAGAGAGAGAGAGAGAGCTTTGTGTCCGAGTTTTTCCCCGAAGCGAGTTTTTGATGCAGTGTCGTTGCTATTGTCGAGCCGATTAACTCTCACCCTCTCGAGTTTCTGTTGCCGCGAGTGGTGCGAGGCGCGCATTGTGAGCAGGCGCGGGGATGATCGATGCCTTTCCACGAGAGCTCCGAGGGATTGTGATTTTTCGCCGCTCGCGATGACGTAGCGAACCTACACGGGCGAGAGAGTCAATCGATCGCCCTCGCGCACGCACACGCGCCTCTCCATTTTTTTTCCCTTTCTTTCCTACGAGTCACTCTCTAATCACGCGGAAAGCCGGGGATGGGCATATCCATCCCACGGTTTATTCATGCGTCACGCTTCGATTCCCTTTCTTTCGCACTGGCTGGCCGCGCGCAGCGACGATATGATTTACGTCGTGTTTAAAGGGATCGCGGGGGGGGGGGGGAGCGTTTGAGATGGAGAAGGAAAAAGAAACGGGCGCCGCGAAGCTTGTATCTCGCAATTACGCGTCGACGATCTCGTCCAAGAGAAAAAAAGAGGATTAGCGAGCGACGCATAGCCGACGTCGCTCCGTATGTTTTGCTCGTTTCGATCGCCTCGAGTCTCCGGGGCTCGTCGGCCGAAGGTTGCTCGAGTAATTAAGCCTCGGCCGAGCGCGTCAACGGCGCTAACTGGAAGCCGGAGGCTGCGGGACCGAATTGAAAGTACCGCCGAGAAGCCGCTCTCTCGCTTTCCGCGGAGGGCCGGCCAAACAGATCGAGAGCCGACGATAGCCCGCGCGGCGGACTTGTCGATCTCTCGGCCGGATCGCGGAGCGGATTTTAGCCACGCGCGCGCGTTGAGAGACACCCGGCGCGCCTCGCGCAAATCTGGCTCTGCGATCTGTCGCGGGAGCTAGGTTAATGTAATGAAAGGCCCGACGGCGAGTGGATGCGTCGCGCGTCGACACCTGGCTCGCTTTGATGCTGCCAGAGGTGGCTTTCGCCCGAACGGCCGGGATCGTCAGATAGCGCGGTGCCGCCAATGTGTCGCCGCTGGATGCGGCGGGCGCGCGCAAAGTCGTCACGCGCGCATCGATCTCTTTGGCAGATGAGATGGCGCAGCGACCGTCACGAATGGATATTCGGTTGATTCGGCCAGCGCCAATAGTAACGAGCGTCGGATTGTTTACTCGATAGGGCCCCCTTTTTTCGTTCGCTGCGCCCCCTCCTGCGGCTCGTTTTGGCTTTCGCTCGCGACCATGATGCAAGGCAAACTGAATGTTATCGGCGAATGGAAAAACTACTCGGTAGATAAAAAAAAAGAGAGAGAAAACGAGGAAGGAGATTTCCTCTGCGAAAGCTTCGAGAGCGTCGGCGAGATACGTAACGGACACCTCGACATAATGCACTATCCAATCGGTTTGACGCATTCCGAGGTAGATACGAGCACAAAGGGGGAGACGGGAGGGAGAGAGTTTAGGGTGTAATCCGTGCGAGTGGCAGTGGCATGGGCGCGCGCGATTCACCCGAGCTAATCTCTTAATCACTCTCGCAGTGGCGGACGACACAGGCAGCGCGCACGAGAGATATAGACTGTGAGAAAGTGACTTTCGAGCGCATCGTCGCTCCTCTCTACCAGGTGATAAGGTAACGGCGGGCCTCGCCACCTATTTTCGGAAAGTTCTTTCGCGCGCAAACAGCGCGTCTGCCCAATTTGAAATATGTTTGGCTAATTGGACGAACGGCGCTTTCAATTAGTCGCAACTCCGCCAGAGGAAAAACCAGGACGAATCAGCCTTGGATGCTTGGCGCGTTATTCAAATGTCTCGCGTTGAAATGAAAACAGACACGGAGACGAGCCTAATTAAGCCGATTGCTCGTTGCGTGTCGAGGCGGCAGCAGCAGTAGCAGCAGCAGAAAAAGGCCTGCTACCAAAAAGGCCGCGTTGTGCAACGATGACGAGGCGAATAAAAACTTCGCGAGGGCACATTCCGATTCGTGCAGCGCTATTGCTGCTGCCGCTGCTGCTTACGTGGGAAAAGCCGATGTATCGGGTCGCGCTTCCTCGAAGGCTTGCTGCATTAGGCGCCGAATCGCAAGCCTGCCGGGAGTGCGTGAAAATATTCGTGAGCCTATTTCACTTTCGCGCTGGAATGCCGACGGATGTGATAATTAACGGAGCGGAGGAAGGTTCCCACACCGAGGAGCGAAGAGTGCACAACAAATCGGCGCCGATTACGCGGACGATCGTGGCACGGTAGCCGTAAGCGGCGGCAACGAGCCCGCGAATCATCACGCGAGCGGGACAAGCGCTCGCGGCTTCCCGAGTGACAAAAATCCTCGTCCTTCGCGGCCTCTCCGCGCGTCGCGGAATGCAACGCAGGTTGTCTTCTCGTTTTCTTGCTCGCCGAGAAATATATATTTTTAGCGCGAGGCGGACGACGAGCGAGCGGCGAAAGTGCGAACAAGGTCAGTGAGGCTACCGAGCGCGCGAGATCGGCAAGCTCGACGTCGCGAGTCGCAGGCCGAAGGCGGTCTACGTTTTCGCTCGGCAGCCGGCCGTGACAGCCGCTCGGCGATTTGGCAATGCGCGAGCGACCGATTTCCCTGACCGGCGATCGGATCGCAGGTGTTCCGCGCCGCTTTCGAAAAGGCAGGAGCGACGACGCGGAGCCGGGATAACTTGGGAGCGCGCGACGACGGAAAGGCGAGTCGGCGCAGTCGGCGCAAGAGAGCAAACAGACGTGGGTCCGGTCGCGCGGCAGCCGGTGCGGAGCATATCGCGCCTAGCATTGCGATCGCTCGCGTTCGGCACAGCGAGAGTCTGGGTAAGCCGAGGTAGACGTACACAGGCATCTCTTGCTTGGATTGAAAGTATACTCGGAGCCGGAGGAATGCGCTCGTCCGATCCCACGGCTCTTGCCCCCTCCTCTCTCTCTCTCTCTCTCTCTCTCTCCGCCAGCTCTCAATTCTTTCTCGCCCCTCCCGACTTCTCTGCTCTCCCTCGGCCAAGTCTCGCGCCTCTCGGCTTCAACTCTGCTCGCGATCTTGCGCGTTACGCACTCGACTCCTCGGACTTACTTTGAGCTTCTGCGTGTGCCCGCACCTGCAGCAGCAATACGACATGTAGTCGGGCATCTGTACGCCGACGAGCTGCTGCTGCTGCTGTTGCTGGCGCTGCTGCTGGCCGGCGCCGATCTTGGCACTCTTAGCTTGGTGCTGGTCGTCGTGCTCGTCACCACGGCGCTGCTTCTTGGTCGGGCTCGGCTCCTCCACGAGTCTGCGGTAATGCACCTTGAAGGCGGCCCGCATGCTGCTGGCAGCGGTGCCGACAGCGCTGTGATGATGGTTGCCGGCCACGGACGAGGACGTGTGAGCGGCCGCCCTGCCGAGTCGGCCCATGATGGCGGTGAAGGCGGCCAGGGTGCGGCGCCTTCTGGCGAAACGTCGCATGCCTCGATGTTGCGCCGCCGCGGTCGACTGCTGCAGGCGACCCGAGCGACACATCAACAACAGCAGCTCGCGCTCCGCGAGACAGACACAGAGAGGACGCTGGAGCACACTGAACGCGCCGCCTGCTTCTTTGGTCTCGCGGCCATTCAGACTAGAGGATCGCGAGTTGGCAGCTGTAACGTCGGCGGCCGCTTCCTCGCTCGAAGATAAGTCGCCGATCGCGCACTTTGCCTTGGCTCGCTCAGCGAGAGACTGTCTCGAGACTCCAAGAGAGCGCCCATGCAGCTCGCTATTTTCCCCCTCCCGCGCGCTTCGGCTCTCCTCCTTCCCTTCTCTCTCGCTCTCTCTCTCTCTCTCTCTCTTGCCATTCCATATTGAGGCGGCCCAAGAGCGCCAGCTGGCGAACATGCCACTTTCCACTCTTACAGAACCTACGTTCTTTGACCCCTCATTCGCTATATATTTGCCGCCGCGCATAGGCATAGGCCAAGTACGCGCGTTACCTATGTGCATCTCCGTGCGACGCCGACCCACGCGGCTTCTCTCTCTCTCTCTCTCTCTCTCTCTCTCTCTCTCTCTCTCTCTCTCTCTCTTTCTCTTTTCGACGAATGTGGGTGAAACGCGATGTAGTGCGGCTTCTTTACTTGCCATCGACCGCGATGAACTTAGGGCGAGCGATATGTGATTTTTTCCCCCACTCTCTCTCTCTTTTTTTTCTTTTTTTTTTTTTAAGTACGAGAGGGCTCGAGTGTTGGGTTTCTTTTCAAGTTTTTTTTTCCTCTCTTTGACGTGGGCTTACGCTCCGTTCTTTCTTCTTCTTTTTTTTGGAAAAACGAGGTTCAAGGGTTGATGTGACGTCCATTGGCACAAGTTTTACGTCAATTTTCGGCTTTTCGAGCGTCGAGCGCGGGAGGGCCGCGGAAAAGTGGACAGCTCCCGCTGGCGACCGGTTGATCACGCGACGACGGCGAATCGCTCGCTCGCCTTGTCGATTTCAATCGGTCTGGTCCGGCGCTAGTTTTGCTTGAAAACTGAACGAACGCTCGCGCGGCCGACGGAACGAACGACATTCACATCCTAGTAAATCATAGGCTATCGAAGCGTGCGCGCGCGCGCAGACGTAATCCTCCGATAAAACTCGTAAATAACGCTCGGAGAAGGGGTTAAACACTTTGCAACGCGGCTGATAAAACCTAATTTTTCGGGGGCGCTCGCGATAAATCTTCGGCCTAGGTTGGCGCCAGGGATTAAGAGATAACGCCCAGGGTCTAATCGCTTATGCAGATTAGCGGTTGAGATTCGCCAAAGAAGGGGCAAGGGGCGGAGAAGGCCTCCGCCGCTGCTGTTGGCTGATTGAATGGGCGCGCGAGCGCAGCGCGGATGTTAATTCCGCCGGAGTAATTGTTTCTTCGCGCGGTTCTCTTCGCGTCGAATGCTAATCGCGCTTGCTCTGGCGCCGTGGGATCGAATCTCGCAAGACTGTCGGGGCGTCTTTGCGCAACCTTTGCGATTAACCGAGCTGGCGATGCATCGACGGTAACGACGCGATCGACGAGGGGAAGCTGCGCGAGTACTCGTGCGGCGCCGCCGGAGGAAAGAAAGCCCAGCGGCCGCGACGACGGAAACGCGCGCCGCAGGTCGCGAGCCTACGCGGCGCGAAACGGCCATTGGCGCGAGGCTCGACGCGAGGCGCGTGCGACGACAGAAATAGAGAGCCGTGGAAAACAACGGGACAGCATGTATAGTTTCGGCGAAGGCGGGGGGTAATAGCGGGGTTCGCACCTGCGCGCCTTTGTTTCTTTTTTCCTTTTCTTTCCTTTTCGACGCTGCCGGCATTGCGTGAAACTCGAGATCGACAGCCATAACTCGATGAAACCTCAGACGCTTTTACGAAACGTCGTTAGGCGCGTCGAGTGAAAAACAAGTGACAGAAAACGGACCAGATGCGGGCAACGTGGCAAAGAGGAAAAAACGAGAGCGAGAATAAAGAAATTGGCGCTCGCGCGGGAGCGAAAGCCAGCCGATGCCGATCCCGAGTCGGAAACGAGTGCCGCGTCGACACGAGGATTCGATTGAGAGCTGGAGACGAGGAAGCGAGAGACAGATCTCGCGATGAAATTCGAGACTCACGTGCGGTTGGTCGCGAGACGCGCGCATAAAAGAGAAGGCAGAGGCAAGCTCCTTTTCAGGATTTCACGTACGTCTCGCTAAAGTCAGCTCGCGAAACGCTCGTGCCTTTGTCTATGTATACGCGTCGTAAACGGCGGAGCTTGCGACACGCCGAAGAATCGAAAGTTTACTTCGGAAACGTTGGCTCGCGGCGTTTCGAGGATATACGTCGCAAACCAAAAGAGCCAGCACGCGGCACTCGAGGCGAAATACGAATTTGGAAGTGCATCGCGCAAACGCATTTCTTGGCAGCGCTCGAAAGAGACACTCTTTCCCGAAATGCAACTCAGCTTCGCGAGTACTCCTTGTTTACGTATACACGTATATTTGCATTGCGAGTGCTCCCGCGGCGGCTGTTGACATCGTTTTCGGCTGCCTGCGCGGAGGTATGCCAAGGTATACGGGGCGCGCCGAGCTCTCCGTTGCCTCCAACGAGAAAAAACGAGAGCGCGAGGGCAACGGGCAAAAGTCAAATCAGCGACGGCTACTGCAGCGGACGGAGGGCAGCAGCGCGCGAGATAAGCCGGTGATCGATGAAGAGGCTGGCCGTTTTTGCTCGGCTCGCCGTGTAATCCCACGTGTCACGCTCAGTCGGAGCAGCGCTTTGTCTTCGGCTGATTTTCCTTTGTTTCGCCAAAGCGACTTCGCTCCAGGTGGCCAGCTTGACCTGCATTTTACAAGCGTTTTTTTTCCTCGGCGAACAGGGTGTCGAGGTTCTGTTGTGATCGACGGGACTTAGCCGTTGAAGGCGCCGCTGGAATTTTTTTTGGAGGGAGGGGGAGGGGAGTCGCGACTGATGCTCATCCGGAACACGCGAAAGAAGGCTGACAAACGAATGCTTCAAGATGCCGTGGACAAGACTTTGATGCCGTTGCAGGCTTCGCACATCGTAGAAAGATTATTTTAAGAGAAATGGAAATGCTTTTAGAAAAGTATGCGCGTTGGAGGAAGCTGAACATCTGGATGGGTGGTAACGAGAAACACGCACGACAGATTTTTCAGCGAGAAAAAGAGCAAGCAGTGGCACACGGATAGAGAAAGAGAGAGAGACCAAGAGAGCTGTTCGAATCCCATCTACTTGGCATTAAATAAATACACTCGCACTATCAGTAAATTCAACGGACAAATAATGAGAGCGTTTCTTAACCGAGGAACAATATCAGACGGAGCAGAAAAGGGGGAAGCTTCTCGCTGCATTTACTCCGGTGGAGAGCAAACGACATCCTTATCGCGTTAGCGCGATAGACAGAACAAAAAGGAATAAAATAAAAACGCTGGCGCGCGCCGAAAGTCAAAGGGAGCCGGAGGAAAATTAAATCGCTCGACGACAACCTTCAGCGGCGGCGGCAACGGCGGCGTTGCGCATCCCGTCTAAATCCTCCAAGGAATTCGTAACAGGTAGTTTTTAGGGGCCGCGCACAAAACTCCTCCTCTGCTACTGCTACGACAGTTGTACGCGCGTCTCTGCAGTCGCATTGCGCTTCGCGCTTCGCGCTTCTTTGGCGGCACCTCCTTTCTTTTTTTTTTTTTTGTTTTTTTCTTTTTTTGAAGAATGGCACGCTGTTCGACCTTCGTGTTTTTACGGAGCTTCTTTTTTCAATCCTCGGTAGTGCCGCTTTATGTACCACTGAAATATGTCTCTATTTTTTTTATGATATACGTATCGAAAATCATTTTGCCTTTTGGTCAATCTGATATTCACTCGATCGATCGGTAAAAAGTTCACTAGAAAAAAACGTAGCACATCAACGTTGAACTTTTTCTCGTCTTATCAGGTGACTTTATGAATATTTCATAGCCCTTTGTTCCTTTATTCATACATCGAGAAAAAACAACTTGAAAATCATAACCCCCCTCCTCCTGCCTAGCGCAGCCATAAACTTTTGTGTGTACAATATCTAAGAATCGACGAAAAGAGCGCAGTCCTTCGAAGAAAATTAAACAAAAAGCCCTCTGTTTATTGACGAAAATCCACAAAAGAGCAGGCGCCATAGTCCCACGGTCTTTCGGAGCGCAGAAAAAAAAATGACGGCTGACCAAACATAGACACGGCGAACCGAGCGTCTACGCCTTTTTCTCTCTCCAATCAAACCACGAGCACACCGCATGTCGGCGTGTATAAGGCGAGCAAAATTTGATCGCTTATCTGAGCGAAGGGCTTTTGGGCGGAAACGGGCCATCTGCCCTCGACGTTAATAGCGTCGCCCCGTGCGCGCTTCCGTATCTTATCGGCCTACCAAACACCAGATACACATCTGGTTGGAGATTGCGACACTTTTTTTTCTACCTTTTTATTCCGTTTTTTTCCTCCACGAGAGGCCGAGTCTGCTTAGTGTGAGAGCAGGGGAGAGATAAAAAAAAACGTACGTGTGGTCTAATGGGTCTCGGGAATTTCGGTATTTCTGGAATGACGAGTGGGGTCGCGCGCGTTTTTCCGGGGCTTCGTGTGCCGCCACCGCCGCACACGTTTTCCACTGCGCTCTCCGCCTCTGCGGACTGAACGCTTCTCGATGACTCTCTCCCGCGACTGATTTCGTCTAAGGAGGCAGTTCCATAACGACAGTCATTGCTTGGCGCGCGCGCGACAGCACGCACGCACGTGGCGCGCGCATACTACGCAGAAACTCAAACGCTCGATAATTAAGCCATCGCCCGTAGGGACGGCCGCACGCAGAGTTCATCCGCTCGTCCGTGCCCGTGACAAAAGCGCCCTTTATTTCGCTCGACGAACTTAGCGACGCGGAAACCCATACTCTTTTTCATATTTTTTCGAAAAAGAAAAAAAACACCTGTGCACAGGTGAAAATTAATCAGTGAAGAAGATATAGACTGATAGCACTCGAAACACGAACGAGAGAGAGAGAGAGAGAGAGTGACGCAGAGGATAATGCAGCAGAAGCCACTCGAGAAGGCTTTCAAAGCTGCGGAGCAGCTATCTGCTTTCAAAGTGTGTGCACATAATAATAGTAGCAGCCTCTCTCTCTTGCAGGTGGCCGTGTCGTGGCGCACCGCAAAGTATATACAGGGTCTAGTCGCGCGCCGCGGCTCG